GTAGACCATTTTTAAAAAACGGGACCCAAAATTAAAAATCTAAAAACATGGTTAGATTTGGCATATCAAAGAACCCCATATATTTAATTTTTGTTGAAATCAAAAAAAGTTTAATTTTGGACCCCAACTTGAACCAACTTGAAAACTGGGCCCATAATCAAAAATCTAAACACATGTTTAGATTCAGCATATCAAAGAACCCCAAGAATTCTATTTTTGTTAAAATCAAACTAAGTTTAATTTTGGACCCTTTGGACCTTAATGTAGACCATTTTAAAAAACGGGACCCTAAATTAAAAATCTAAAAACACGGTTAGATTTGGCATATCAAAGAACCCCAATAATTCAATTTTGATGAATTCAAACAAAGTTTAATTTTGGACCCTTTTGACCTCAATATGAACCAATTTGATAGCGGGGCCCACAAATAAAAAATCTAAATACGTGGTTAGATTCAGCATATCAAAGAACCCCATGTATTCAATTTTTGTTGAAATCAAACAAAGTTTAATTTTGGACCCCAATTTGGACCAACTTGAAAACTGGGCCAAAAATCAAAAATCTAAATACATGTTTAGATTCAGCATATCAAAGAACCCCATATATTCAATTTTTGTTAAAATCAAACAAAGTTTAATTTTGGACCCTTTGGACCTTAATGTAGACCAATTTGAAAACTGGACCCAAAATTAAAAATCTAAATACACGGTTAGATTGGGCTTAACAAATTAATAAATGTGGTCAAAGATTTTACAAATCTAATGCGCCATACTGCGTAATTAAAGATTACTTCTTGAAATTTTTCAATATTTGAAATTTGAAAAAAAAAAAAATATTTGAAGAATAATTCTTTTTAATTTCTGAAATCTGAAATGAGAAAAAATTGACCCCCCACAATTTCTTTTTACTCCCCCCCCCCTTTTTCCCCTGAAAAATTCTTTCCCTCAATATATGGTCATAATCTCAATTCAAATTTCCAATGGCGTTGGCAACCATAATTACCCATTTAAATTTACCATAGTGCTAACTTAATCTATTTTATAATAGAATTTAAAATATAGTGTCAAATCTTTCATATGGATTTTTTTGTAAAAAAAAAAGATGCAACATTTGCAGATATTTTTACTGGTCTTCCTTTATAAATATGCATTTCTTTAAACATAATTTAAAAGCAGTGTAAGGGAAGTAACCAAAACGTTGTATTTGGATTACCTCCCTTACACTGTTTTAAATTATCTTAATTGTTCATTAACCATTACTTTATACATAATTTAAAAGCAGTGTAAGGGAGGTAATTTCAATGATGTATTTGATTTATCTCCCTTACACTGCTTTAAATTATGTTTTGTACTAAAGTATTTGTCCATTAACCAGGACAACCTTATTTTCCCCCTTTTTTGCCCCTAATTCCTAAACGGTTTGAGCCATAACCCCCCCAAAGCAAATCCTAACCATCCCTTTGTGGTATGGAAACTTGTAGTATAATTTCAGAGAGATCCATACACCATTCCACAGTTATTGTCTGGAAACTAGAAAATGCTTATTTTTGGCCCCTTTTTGGCCCCTAATTCCTTAACTGTTGGTACCATAACCCCCAAAAACAATCCCAACCTTCCTTTTGTGGTATTGAACCTTATGGTAAAATTTCATAGAGATCCATTCACTTTAACTAAAGTTAGAGTGCGAAAAACAATGTGTCTTCGGACGACGACGACACCAGACAACGACGATGCCAACGTCATACCAATATACGACCACAAAATTTTTTTGTGGTCGTATAAAAATGGTAAAAAGTACCACTGAGTGTAATGAAGCACACTTTTGAGTGTGACAATTTAAAGCAAAAAATATATATTTTTCTCAACAAAGGGGAAGGCTGTATGCCCTCTACATCCCCTGAATTCACCACTGGACATTGGGGTGGATTTGAATGCAAGTGCTTTAGGCATATTTATCAAAGAAACAATGCTTTGATTGTTGCTCTCCATCTTGATGATGAATCATTGAAAGGTCAAGTATGGACTTGAACAAACCAAAAAAATCCTTTAAGTTCAAAATAGAGCAAATCAGGTACAAATGTATGTAAATCAGGCCTGGGGTAATGGTAATTTGTAATTGTAATGCATTGTAATATTACATTTTTTTTATGTAATGCAAAGTAATTTGTAATGCACATTTTCTGCATTACAATTACATGTAATGTAATGATTACTTTAGTTAAAAGTCAATGTAATGCCTCCATTACTGTACATTACTTTTCATTACAAATTGGTAAAATACATAAAATTGAAGAATATAGTAAAATAAAAATAAAATATTAACAAAAACAAAAGAAAGTATTAAATAAAATTATTGTCACAGTTAAGTACTGTATTATATCATTATAGATAGTTTGCCCTTAAAACTTCTTTACAGATCCATTATTAAATCCCCTAAGCCAACTAGTCTTGATCTTGGTTTCTGATATTTGTATAAAATGATATTGGGAATATTTTGGTGTTTGGTGGTCCATGAAAAATCTTCTAAAAAAATATTAAACAAAACTACATAGATGAATGGAAAAAATATGAAGATAAATTTTTCATAATTCTGTACACACCTTACATTATTTCAATGAAAGATTGAATATGTCAATCATCATTTTACACCCAAACTGTGGTTTGGGTCCTGTCTTGTGTTGTTATTTCACCTAATTAATATCAAAATGATTTTATTGCAATCAAATCTTCTCAACTTATGTTTGTCCTCACAGAGCCCTTAGGCATTTAACAAGATAATCCTTTAATGCCACATTTATTATATCCCTTTGATGTCTTAATGATTAAGTGATCAATGTTAGAAACAAAATTATATGATAATTTATTTAATTAGCCAGTATTTGAAGTCTATGTCACTAACACTGTATATATATGTACATATACCCAGGTAATATTTATCAATTTCTTATAAAATCTGTTTGAAATCTTTTTAGAAAATAAAAGGATATGGAGTAAATGTACATGGGACAAAATCGCACACAGTATATAGACAAAATATAAAAATTATTCTTGTTCTTCATCTTGACAGAACGAATCCTTCATACCCTACATCAAGACGGCCCCTAGCGTCGACTTAAGCGGTACTATTGATAAAATAAACCACAGTTCACCCTCTTGCTCCATACCCGCCTGGGAGTGCCAGATTTTGTATTGAAAAAGTAATGTGTAATGTAATGCATTACACAAACAAAGTAATTGTAATGTAATGCATTACATGTGAGAAATAAATGTGGATAGTGTCCACATGTGGACACAGATGATGCCCCCGCTTGCATATCATATAGTTATAAAGGGACATAACTGAAGAACGGTAAAAGTGACACTACCCAAATTTGAACTTGATCTGAGTTTTGTGGTAATAAGCATTGTGTGTAAGTCTCATAACATTTGGTTGAGGCTAACTTAAGTAGAGAACAGAAACTAAAAATTCAGCAATTTTTCTATTTGTAATGATGCATAACTCTAGAACGGTTGTGTATAAGTTTTACAACATTTGGATGAGACAAACTAAAAAATTCAGCAATTTTTATGTTTATAATGGGACATAACTCTAGAATGGTAAAAGTGTTGCCACCTAATTTCGTACTTAATCTGTATTATGTAGTAATTAGCATTGTGTATAAGTTTCATAACATTTGGTTGAGGCAAACTCAAGTTAGAGAACTGAAACAAAAAAAATGTACTTGATCTTTACTGAGTTTTGTTGGAATGAATATTGTGTATAGGTTTCACAATCTTTGGCTGGGGAAAACTTCAGTTACAGAATGGAAACTAAAAAATTTTGCAATCTTTCTATTTATAAAGGGGCATAACTCAATAATGGTTAAAGTGACACTACCCAAATTCAACTTGATCTGTGTTTTATCAGTGGTAGTCAAAATTAAACATTGCATTGTATAAAGCATTGATTGTAGTTGATTCAACTATAATCATGGTCAAAGGAAGATAACTCCAATTTTAAAAATATATTATATAAACTTGATATTTAGAAGAAAATAAAAATTTTGCAATTTTTCCTTTTATAAAGGGGCATAACTCTAGATCGGTTAAAGTGACACCACCAAAATTCAAACTTGATCTGTGTTTTGTGGTAATAAGCATTGTGTATAAGTTTCATAACATTTGGTTGAGGCAAACTTAAGTTAGAGAACGGAAACTAAAAATTATGCAATATTTCCTTTTATAAAGGGGCATAACTCTAGATCGGTTAAAGTGACGCCACCAAAATTCAAACTTGATCTGTGTTTTGTGGTAATAAGCATTGTGTATAAGTTTCATTACATTTGGTTGAGGCAAACTCAAGTTAGAGAACGGAAACCAATTTCGGGACGTACGTACGTACGTACGTACGTACAGACGGACAAGGGTAAAACTTAATGCCCCCCTCCGGTACGGCGGGGGCATAAAAATGTAATTGTAATGGAAGAATCACAAAGTAATTGTAATGTAATGCATTACATTGCAATGTAATGGCCCCAGGCCTGATGTAAATATGGTCTAAATATAAAAATAAAAAGATGTGATATGATTGCCAATGAGAAAACTCTCCATAAGAGACCAAATGACACAGAAATTAACAACTATTTTTTTGTAATGTTTGGGATTTTTCAAGCAACTCTTTTTTTTTTTAAAATACATCTGAACCAGAATTCCCTAGTTTTGTAAAACATATCTTATTTTGGCCAATTCTGTGCTGTGACAGATTATTGATTTTTCTTCCCTTTGAAATCAGAATATTTCTCTCTCTCAAAATACCATAACCCCTACCCCCTTTAATTTACATGGTTTTCCCTTATATGTGTTTTTTTGTATTGGGATTTTTTTCTGTGACGAATAAAGTCTACTAAAATTAATGACTTACAGGTACAATTATCATTTTAAAATACTTTTAAACCTTGCTCATCTAAGTGACTGTGTTGACTCTTTTAGAGACAGGTATGGCTTCATGAAAAACAAACAAAACAAGATAATAATCTATATTATATAAAGCACTATTAATGCTTACAATGTATCACAAAAAGGACATCAAATATTACTCCACAAAGTCATTTAACCTCTTAATAACAAAAATACATTTATAACACGTTACAAATACATTAATACCGGTAATCAAATTTGACTTTGAATTTGTCCCAATCATGATTCAGAAGTAATTCACAATGTGGACTGCATGCACTATAGCAATCTGACTTTTTGTGCATAGACTTTTTCAACACTGAATTTCTTTTTGATAACAAAACATCTTTTTATATTTATACACAAGATCTTTAATCTTCCATAAGGTAAATATTTCCAGTTTGGTATGTATAGTATCTAAAAATTTATTCTGCAAGCTGTTACTATGGTTACTTAGGCAAGAAAATATTAAAATGCAAGAGATTTATAAAAAAAAAGCTTTAAGTTTAGTTGGATTAAGTGTAACAAGTCTTTGTCTAGATCATATGAACACAAACAGCTGTGAGAAACAGGGATAGTGCAAACACAAAATATCCAGTTCTGTAGGTATCCTTCAAGCTAAATCCCACAGCCCAGTCCCAAGCCTGAAAAATATAACAAAAATATTATAATAGCCTGAATTCACATAAAGGATAGCGTCGGAAGGCACTTTTATTAAAATTTGAAAGGTGGTGGTTATTTTAAACAGATAGCCTTAACAATTTTATGAAAGAATCAATTAAAATTTTATAGCATGGCAGGGTTAAATAAAAAATGCATTCCGACCCACCAAACATTTATTTCTGGAATAGCCCTCATCAGTAGCATACAGAAATCAAAGTGCATGTGAGCACTGAGGGGTAAAGACTGCATTCATTTTACCAGGAACTTAAAATTAAACATTATTAGCATTGTATCAAAAATTGGAAGGCAATACTCTTCCTGTGTCTATGTAGTTGCTTCATTTACAATTATGAACAAAGGAAGATAACTCCAATTTTAAATATAACTTTAACAATGATATCATTGATATTCCAAAAAAAAAAAATTCTAGCTTCATACACCTGGCACAATTTATGTAGTTTCCTTGACAAGTATGGTTATACACAAACAAATATATTTTCAAAATTTTGATTCAGACAGTAACTCTTAATCTTAAAAAGGCTTCTGCTGAAGTTTCATAAACTTCTATGAAGGTTTGACAAAATTATTGATTCGAAAAAAAAAAAATTAACCAGAGACTGTTTCCAAATGTAAACTGCAAATAACATTAAGGTTCATCAAAAGGAATTGAAAAAATGGCCGTGTTTACACCACAAAATTTACTCTTAGTACAGACAAACCTGTGCACCTAGAAACGTTTTAAGGCATGGCAGGAACTAGGTAAATAACATTTGAATGCATTTTATGTTTCAGAAAATTAAACACTTAGATTCCTTTTTTTTTAAGCCTGCAGAAGGTAATAAAATAAATAAACACCCGAGTTTCATTTGATATGGTCCACTCCACTCATTTACACAGTTTAAATCACCTATCGTTTTGCATATATCTATTGTCCATCTATTGTCTAGTTAATCAACAAAAATCAATACAATTATTTACATATGGGAACATCTCAAGCATTTTTTCAAAACTTAGTTTATTTTGGCACCTTCTGTGGGAGCGAAAAAAAAGGAACCTCAAAATCCAGAAAAGTTTAAAATTTTCTGAAACATAAAATGCATTTAAAATTTAATTCTATAGTTCCTGCCATGCCTTGAAACTTTTCCAGGTGCACAGGTTTGTCTGTACTCAGGGTAAAATGTGTGGTGTAAATACAGCCATATCAGCCAAAGGGTTATGATGAACCGTAAGTCCATTTAACAGTAAAATATGGAAAATGGAAAAATATTTTCAAACTTTTGCTGAAGATACTGTCTTTTGATCATAAAAGGCTGCTGTCTGAGATTCATAAAATTCCATGAACGTTTGAAAAAGTTATTGATGTCTAAATAACTTGTAACCACAGACAGAACCTAAATGTTGATAGCGTCAAAGACGGAATGTAGGATAGCTATGTCTAGCTTCAGTGACAAAAATATCAAAGTCCAATACCTTGTCATTTGTGATAAATTTAAAGAAAACCAAAAACTTCACAATATATATATGCACACCTTTAGTATCTGTACCATATATCCCATATCAAGGGTGCAAAGTTTTTTTCATGCAAAAACCTCCAACATTTTTTCTGTATGAACTGCATGAAATTTCATACCTGTTTTTGTTGAAGCGTTTAAGAATGATATGTGGCATGCAACAGTTTAATGATTTTAATGACTTAAATCTGCAAATTCCTTAGGATATCATGCTATTTTTATTTTTGAAAAACCAGAAGTCTCACAATAGATTATAAATTACAAATAAAATACTCCGCTGGGCGCAGCTTGATACGACCGCAGAGGTCGAACCCTGAACAGTTGGGGCAAGTATGGACACAACATTCAAGCTTGTTACACACTGAATTTGGATTGTGATTAAATATTTGACACAGCATAGGTTTCTGTCACAGAATGAATGTGGTATAATAACTTATAAATTATTAATTGACCTATTCAAACCATATCATTATTATTTGCTTTTAAATCCGAAATAACCAATTTAAAATGGAAAATTTTAAAGAAAAAAAAAGGAAAAATAAATCCCTCCCCCAAAATTTTTTGAACCCCCTTATGATTCATCACCCCCAAACTCAATCTAAGCCTTCCCTTTATGGTATTGTACCTTGCAGTACAATTTCAGGGAGATCCATACACTTGAACACAAGTTAATGTCTGGAAACTAGAAAAATGCTTATTTTTGGCCCTTTATGGCCCTTTATTCCTAAATGTTTTGGGCAAATACCCCCAAACTCAATTCCAGCTTTCCCTTTGTGATATGGAACCTTGTAGTACAATTTCATAGAGATCCATACACTTACACACAAGTTATTGTCATGAAACTAGAAAAATGCTTGTTTTTTGGCCCTTAGTTGGCCCCTAATTCCTAAAATTTTGAGGCAATTACCCCCAAAATCAATCCCAGCATTCCCTTTGTGATATGGAACCTTGTTGTACAATTTCATCAAGATCCATACACTTGAATACACGTCATTGTCTGGAAACTAGAAAAATGCTTATTTTTGGCACCTTTTTGGCCCCTTATTCCTAAAGGTTTTGGGCAATTACCCCCAAACTCAATTCAAGCTTTCCCTTTGTGATATGGAACCTTGTAGTACAATTTAAGAAAGATCTATACACTTACACACAAGTTTTTGTCATGAAACTAGAAAAATGCTTGTTTTTTTTCCCCTTTTTTGGCCCCTAATTCCCAAAATTTTGAAGCAATTACCCCCAAAATCAATACCAGCATTCCCTTTGTGATATGGAACCCTGTGGTACAATGTCAGAGAGATACATAAACTAACACACAAGTTATGTCTGGAAGTTACAAAAATGCTTATTTTTGGCCCCTAATTCCTTAAATGTTGGTACCATAACCCCCAAAATCAATCCCAACCTTCCTTTTGTGGTATTGAACCTTATGGTAAAATTTCATAGAGATCCATTCACTTAAACTAAAGTTAGAGTGCGAAAACAAATGTGTCTTTGGACGAAGATGATGCCAACTTCATACCAATATACGACCACAAAATTTTTTTGCGGTCGTATAACAAAATCGGATTTACAAAACAGGCTTTTTCTTCCATCTTTCAAATAGCACTAAATCAACGACTCTGGGAATCATACTTGTACAGCGTTTTAATATTAATAATAATTGTTTCACTTGTGTATTCAACAGGAAAATTAATGCAAATTTTATGATTAAGCATCCATTCTTGTACTTGCGTAATGAATTTCGGAACATTTCACTCAAGTTGACAAACAGCTTGAGCCACCTGCTGTACTAACCTAATACATACCGGAGTGACCAGATTTTTCTGTTGGACAACCCAATTTCATCTTTACTACAATAATTGCATGTCTCATAGACAGTCAAGGGTGTAACTTAAATAAGTTATTAGAGAAAAATAACATACATGTGTTATTACAGATACTTTCATGAGTTGTCTACTCATGTTTTCTTAATCTGTAGTAACATATGTTTGTTATTAGTTAAATACATGTATATCATAAATATTTTTATTTTTAGTGGGCACTTGGGAATTCTTGAAACTTTGCGCAGTAACTTAATACATAACCTTGTTAACTAATTTTCCGTTAATACATTTTTTATCAACCATGGTAAATCAATGATACAAGGCTTTTAAGGGATAAACTAAGCTGTAATAACAAGGCTTCGTTATTACAGGCATGTAACTTATTATATGAGACACTTGGGAATTACTGGGAAGCTTGCATAGAACCTCATTACATGCTCTGATCATTATTTCTTACAATAAATTAAAATATATTGTGATATATGTCTGAGCAAAGGCTTTGAAGAGATGTAGAGAAGCTGTAATAACACCCATTAGTTATTGCAGGCATATATTTTCTGTAATAACATAGGTGTACTATGCATGATTGACTAACTATGAACTGTTATATCTTTCTAAAGTTTAGTATACACAAAGACAATGATAATATCAATAGAACTTGTATACAATTTAGCAAAATAAAGGATGTATAATGCCCTTTTGAAACATGTAACATACATATATTATCACAGTTTTTTTATTTTTAGTCCACAATAACAAATGCATGTTATTTTTTTTCTAATAACTTATTTAAGTTAGACCCTTGACTGATAGAAGTGGAGAACTTCATATCTATCAAACATGTTTGGAATATAAGAGGAAATCAGTTTTTCATCAAGAAAATCAACTACAGATGATTCAAATATAAAACACATTCTATAAACCGCTGTATCACCTGAGCCCTTTGTTTTCTGCCTCTAAATACTCACCAAATGTCTAATACCATTAATATAATGGTATATAACAGGAAATCCTAGGATATATTTAGCAGCTGCAATTAACGCAGGTGACAAATTTAAATCTCTGATCATAGTTATGTAAGTTGTAAAATCACCTGGTGATACCAATAGGACTGCTGCCACAGCAGGTACAGCTTAAAAAAGAAAACACCAAATAATTATAAAATATCAAGTGCTGCTGCAAGGTAGAGCTGTAAAACACAAGATAAATTATCAAATCTCCATGTTATAACAGATGAACTGCTGTCACAAAAGATGCAGCTGTTACCCAGGTCAAGCTACATAAAATCTCAAAGTGATACCCATAGTACGGTTACCATATCAAGTAAAGTAAGGAGTTGAAAATCTTTCTTGCCAATGGCTAACCTGGGACTGACAGTTTTCCTTATTTCTCAGTATGTCTAAGAACAGTTGTCCACTTCGTTTTTAGTATATATTCTGACAGCTGTCTTCTTTATTTCCAGAATATCTTGTGACAATTGTCATTTTAAATTTCCTAGCATATCTTCTGACAATTGGCCTTTTTATTTCGGATCCAGTATATCTTTTGACAATCATTATTTCCAGTATATGAATTGCTGTCAGCCTGTAACAATAATTATTTCCATTAAATTATGGATCAAATGTCTCCTCCTCAACTATTCCCTGTTCCTCATCATAGTTTAATCTCAGAGCTTTGGAAAACAGAGTTTACTGAAGAATTGTTCAATAAATAAAATTCTACTTATTCAGCTGCTAATTAAAACCTTGGCCTATGTATGATAAATCACAATGTATTAAAAAATAATAAGAAAAGTTCTTGTAAAAATGTTACTTACTGACACCCATAATAATGCCTGTTACCCTATGGCATAAAGACAGCATTGATGTTAACTGGGGTCTGAAAAAAATATTTGATATAACAATGGAGTTTTTTCATATATTTGGTTCATTTCAAATATTAAAAAGTTCAAAATATTAGCTACCAGGAAGCAGGTGCCTGACAGATCTGAAAAATCTTCAAACTTTACAACGCATCACTGTTAAACTGCTGGCCAAATATAAAGTCAAAAAGGCTGACATAATTATTTGTTGTACAAACAGATGGACAAGGTGAATGGAATATAGCTCCCACTCTTAAATAAAATTGTGCCAATTCTATAATTTTTAGTATGTTAAATATTTATCCACTTTGTCTCTTATCATTTTCAGTAACGATTTTTTTCATTCTAAGCATGTGAATTTTGTATTTAATTTTAAAATAAATGTGGATTGTGTCCATGCATGGACACAGATGATGCCCCCGCTTGCATATCCTATAAAGATATAAAGGGACATAACTGAAGAACGGTAAAAGTGACTCTACCTAAATTTGTACTTGATCTAAGTTTTGTGGTAATAAGCATTGTGTATAAGTCTCATAACTTTTTCATTTGTAAATGGGCATAACTCAAGAACAGTAATCAAAGTGCTTGTAAGCACTGAATGGTAAAGATTGCTTTAATTTATCAGTAGGAAGTAAAATTGAATATTGCATTGTATAAAGCATTGGTTGGAGTTGATTCAACTACCATTATGCACAAAGAAAGATAACTCCAATTTTCAAAGAAGACTTTCAAATACTTTTAGAAATGAAGGGTAAAAATTGCTTTAATTCATCAGTGGAAGGTAAAATTAAACATTGCATTGAATTAAGCATTGATTGTAGTTGATTCAACTATAATCATGGACAAAGAAAGATAACTCCAATTTTAAATATACTTGATCTCAAATCGTACTTTCTTGTTTATTTGACCTGTTGATACTAATTGTATTGCTTTTTTGTTATTTAATGTTATTCAGGGTTATATCTGGTCTATATACCAGCTTTGATAAGTGTTTGGTATAACTATAAATTTTTACTTCGTACTATGAACATAAAAATTATTTATTTTGTAAAAATATTTCCTTTCTCTATTGGTACTGTACACGTATACCTAACAGCAAAATTATTTTCATTTACCTGTGTTTAAAGTTATTGCAAACGGATGGTATTTTTGTTCGAGCATATTGTTTTTCTTTAATTGTTTAACATTTCTTATCGATATAACATGTTACTTTTATTTTTCTTCTCTTAGTTTATTTATTTTGTATTTACATTGTGTCATAGGTTAAATTTATTTGTTCAGTGTATGTTCAATGGTGTTAATATGTCCTTTGATTGAGTTAAGCTATTTCAGTTGATATTTTATAGTGTGTCTTTCTATGTTGTGATGTTACACTATTGTTTCAGAAAAAGGGTGAAAGTTTGGTACCATTAAAACGTTTAAACCCGCTGCATTTGTTTGCACCTGTCCTAAGTCAGGAATCTGATGTTCAGTAGTTGTCGTTTGTTGATGTGGTTCATAAGTGTTTCTTGTTTCTCGTTTTTTATATAGATTAGACCGTTGGTTTTCCCGCTTGAATGGTATTACACTAGTAATTTTTTGGGGCCCTTTATAGCTTACTGTTTGGTGTGAGCCAAGGCTCCGTGTTGAAAACCGTACTGTGACCTATAATGGTTTACTTTTATAAATTTTGACTTGGATGGAGAGTTGTCTCATTGGCACTCATACCACATCTTCTTATATCTATTGATATTTAGAAAAAAAAATGCTGAATTTTTCCATTTGTAAAGGACATAACTCTAGAACAGTAAAAGTGACGGCACCAAAATTCAAACTTGATCTGTATATTGTGGTAATAAGCATTGTGTATAAGTTTCATCACATTTGGTTGAGGCAAACTTAAGTTAGAGAACTGAAACGAAAAATTTAGCAATTTTTCCATTTGTAAAGGGGCATAACTCTAGAATGGTAAAAGTGAAGCCACCAAAATTCAAACTTGATCTGTAATTAGTGGTAATAAGCATTGTGTATAAGTTTCATAACATTTGGTTGAGGCAAACTAAAGTTAGAGAACAGAAACCAACTTTGGGACGTAAGTACGGACAGATGTACATACGTACAGACGGACAAGGGTAAAACTTAATGCCCCCTCCGCTACGGCGGGGCATAAAAAGAGAAGATTTTTTACACACAGAAGATAATGTTGCCAAGCAAATGAAAGGTGTTGTTTAAATTTTTTGAAGATTTGCACCCCTTTGAGTATGAGTATACTCAAGTTTCTAAACTTAAATGCAGCTACAAAATAAATTCTCATTTGACCAGAAACTACAGTTTCTAAACTTAAATGCAGCTACAAAATAAATTCTCATTTTACCAGAAACTAGTTTCTAAACTTAAATGCAGCTACAAAATAAATTCTCATTTTACCAGAAACTACAGTTTCTAAACTTAAATGCAGCTACAAAATAAATTCTCATTTTACCATAAACTACAGTTTCTAAACTTAAATGCAGCTACAAAATAAATTCTCAAATTACCAGAAACTACTTTCCCAGGTTAACCAAAGACACAATAATCATCTATACAATCCATGACAAAGTTATTTAAAAGTTTGTGTTAAAACCCATACTATGTTCAAAGTTGTACACTACACAGTTAAGAATATATATTACAAACATATCATATCTATATCACTGAATAAATAATTTACTTGTAAATAGATAAATGTGGAGAAAGTGGTCTGTTCAGTTTTCTGTTTTTTGCCCAGAAGTCACTCATTTCTTCATAAGCTGTGGCGGAAGCCATTGGCTGAATACTGAAAAATAAACATTCTAGCATTATTATGAAGCCATTGACTGAATACTACAAAATAAACATACTTTTAAATGTGTCATGTATGTATTATACAGTTGAAATTTGTTGTATTTGCTACATTTTAGTTGAAACTAAAACCTCTGAGGAAGGGCAATACCACAAAAGTATCTCTGTTATTACTCTATGTATAATCAACATTTTTCCATCAAAGTGCTTGTTGGCACTGAAGGGTAACTACTGTTTTCAATTTGCAATGTGAACTTAAAATAAATTATAAAATTATAAAGCTGAATGGTTCATAATTGTAGTTAGATAACAGATAGATTTATATGCCATGCACAACTTATGTAATTTTTAATAGAATAGTTTTCCTGACAAGTATTGTTTTTATATGTATACAACTACACATCATTTTGTAACCTGAAAATCTAAGCATATATATATTATTAATAAATTGCATTACATGGGTTTGATCTAAAGAATGTTCATCTCACTGCAATATGTTGCTTGAACTCTTAAAAGGTAGAGATAGTGGCATAAGAGTTTAGATTTTAGATTGCATTTCACCCAATCTTTACCCCAAAACATTGTGGAGAATTTACTTTTGTTACAAATAAAGAAATAATTTGGCTAAATAAAGTTTAATCCTTTCCATTACAAGATATTCCTTGATCATGAAAAAGCTTCGGTCCAAGCTGCTTAATGATGGTTTAACATAGTAATTGATGTCTGAAAAATTTAACCCCATACTGTTTGTACAAATGTAAATGTTAACTGCAAAAGCCTGAAAAATTTAATAACTGCTAAAATGAAGCAAAAAAAATGTTTTCAAAATTACAGCTTTTTGACATTGTTTGAAGACAAAATTGTTATTTTTCCATAGTGTTCAATAAAAACCAACAGATCATTATTTAATGAAGAAATTATTGCACATGTAAAGGGTCCTCCAATCATAAATACCCTGAAGTTTCATAACAATGAAAATCAAGATGATTTTTCTCCTCTTGTGGTCATGTTTTTCATTTGGAAACGAGGAAGATTTTTTTAAATTTGCCAATCCGAATCAAACTTTGCCTTACAATTGACATGTAAACCATACATTTATTTCAACCGATTTAATGGATGTCAAACCACAAACTGCAGGAATTTAAAATAATGTTTTGCAAAAATATAGGTCAAATCAATCAAACTAAAAAAAAAAGAATGTCAACAAATTCAAATCGTGATCAGCTACAACAATTTATAATCAATATAAAATTCAAATTATTTCATTAAACATGTTAAACATTTATATGTATCCTTTCTTTTTGATTACACACAATGTAATAAGCAAAAAAAAATAATACCTTTTCTGTAAAAGAGCACCATGGTGTCGGAAAAGACAGCTCTGTCTTCCAAATTGTCTGTAAAATATAAATACAAAAATTTTGGACATTGAAATTTACATATTTCTCCTTTATAGTTCCATGATACATGTACATGTCCATGTAGCTGAATAATAGTGAAGCAAACATGGATTTACATTTTGCATTGATTTCAGTTGGGAATTTCTTTTTAAAAACACAGCATTGAATTTCACAAAGATTGAAACGAACAGAAAATGAAGAAAAAAAAGTATCTGCAAATACCAATTTTCAAGAATTTGGTTTGACCAGGCTGGGTATCCAACCCATGACTTTAAGCACTCAATGTGAGCATGCTAACACTGGATCACTGCAGCAGTACTGGCATAATGTAAAGCATCTAATTAATAAAACATAACAGCATACTCTGAAAAAATCAGGTGAATGGACCAAGGATCTTAAAATTTTCTTACGGTTTTTCTAAAAATGTTCAAGAACAGTTAATAGAATGCAACAGTTAAATTTGAAATGATTTTTTATATGACTCAAAATGGTAATTTTCTCAGACATCGCTTACGTTTCTTTCCCTTTTGAAGACGAAATTAAAACCAGAAGTTTCACGACATAACTAAAGTACGAGTAATTCCTGATTCATTTCCGGGATTCGTTCTGTTTATCAAATTGACAGGAAATCACGGGATTTTTAATTTTATTACCTTTAAATGTGTTTGAATATAACAGATAATAGTTGCATTTGTTTAATTTAGCATGATATCATTTTGTATTTTATGATTAAGAGTCTAATCTGCTGAAGACAATTTCATGCATGCCTATTACATAGTTAATAAAATGCTTCGCTGGGGCGCAGCTTGATACGACCGCAGAGGTCGAACCCTGAACAGTTGGGGCAAGTATGGACACAACATTCAAGCTTGATACAGCACTGAATTTGGATTGTAATTAAATATTTGACACAGCATAGGTTTCTGACACAGAATGAATGTGGTCTAAGAACTTAAAAATTTTTAATTTATCTATTCAAACCATATCATTATTATTTGCTTTTATATATAAATCAGAAATAACCAATTTAAAATAGAAAATTTCAAAGAAAAAAAAAGGAAAAAAAAATCCCTCCCACAAATTTTTTCAACCCCCTTATGATTCATCACCCCCAAACTCAATCCCAGCCTTCCCTTTGTGGTACGGTACCTTGCAGTACATATGATGGACTGTGAAACTAAGATCAGGAGTTTGGGAAATTTTGGTCAGGAGATTAGGACTCAGATCAGGAGGTTTTTAATCGACATAAATTCTGTCGTAAATGTAACCGTGTGCTGTAGAAATTGTCTGTTAAAGTGTGTTTTCTTCAACTTTCCATCCAAATGTATTATGTTTATAGTACCCTTGTACTTATAAAATTTCTCTATCTTTTTAAACTTTCAACTTGTTCAATCTAACATTCTTCTTTTTTAGTATGTTCTTTAAAGTTTTTAGGTCATATCTTTCTTTCCATTATTCATTGCAATCAGAATATTTGCTTATCTATCTGCAAGTAGATCTTTTATTTTCATCTTTATGCAAGTAGATTTTTTATTTATCATTAATATGCAAGTAGATTTTTAATGCATGACAAGTAACACATTCAAAATGTAATCATGGGTCATAGTTAATATATAAATTTCAATTTAAGCCTTGAAAGGAAGTATAGAACCCTCAAATAATTTTCAAATTATTATTTTTTTATTTGTCCTAAGAAATTTAAAATCATTTAATTACCATCCTTTTATGATTATTTGTTCAATTTATATTTTATTTATATTCTTTTAAAAATTTACATTATTTAAAGGAAAGTAACTTAAAACAGGATAAATCAAGGGAAGTAACCCAACATTCATTTAGGCAGTTAGCCTGATGTAAAAATCGTTGATTACCAGTATGTTTGACACCCAAGGTGACAAGTGAAGCCATATAATTATGCATGTTAATTGATTTACAGGTAAAATATAACTTCAGGTAATGTCAGTTACACCAGATATGTTGGGCTGAAATTTTTCATTCATGAAATATTTCATACACGGTATTTTTTTGTCTTCAACGGGAGGTCGGGAGGAGACCCCTGAAAACGGGATTATTGTATTCCCGTCGGGAGGTTCACATGTATGATTACTGTACAATTTCAGAGAGATCCATACACTTGAACAAAAGTTATTGTCTGGAAACTAGAAAAATGCTTGTTTTTTGGTCCCTTTTTGGCCCAAAATTCCTAAACATTTAGGGCAATTACCCCCAAACTCAAACCCAGCTTTCCCTTTGTGATATGGAACCTTGCAGTACAATTTCATAAAGATCCATACACTTACACACAAGTTATTGTCCTGAAACTAGAAAAATGCTTGTTTTTTGCCCCTTTATGGCCCCTAATTCCTCAAATTTCTAGGGATTTAACCCCAAAATCAATCCCAGCCTTCCCTTTGTGGTATGGTACTTTGCAGTACAATTTCAGAGAGATCCATACACTTGAACACAAGTTATTGTCTGGAAACTAGAAAAATGCTTATTGTTGACCCCTTTTTGGCCCCTTATTCCAAAACGTTATGGGAAATTACCCCCAAAATCAATTCCAGCTTTCCCTTTGTGATATGAAACCTTGTAGTACAATTTCATAAAGATCCACACACTTACACACAAGTTATTGTCATGAAAATAGAAAAATGCTTGTTTTTTGCCCCTTTTTGGCCCCTAATTCCTAAAATTTGGAGGCAATTACCCCCAAAATCAATCCCAGCATTCCCTTTGTGATATGGAACCTTGTGGAACAATGTCAGAGAGATCCATACACTTACACACAAGTAATTGTCATGAAACTAGAAAAATGCTTCTTTTTGGCCCCTAATTCCTAAAATTTGGAGGCAATTACCCCCAAACTCTATCCCAGCATTCCCTTTGTGATATGGAACCTTGTGGTACAATGTCAGAGAGATCCATACACTAACACACAAGTTATGTCTGGAAGTTACAAAAATGCTTATTTTTGGCCCCTTTTTGACCCCTAATTCCTTAACTGTTGGTACCATAACCCCCAAAATCAATCCCCACCTTCCTTTTGAGGTATTGAACCTTATGGTAAAATTTCATAGAGATCCATTCACTTAAACTAAAGTTAGAGCGCGAAAACCAATGTGTCTTCGGACGACGACGCCGGACGACGACGACGACAACGTCATACCAATATACGACCACAAAATTTTTTTGCGGTCGTATAAAAACAGGACCCAAAATTAAAAACCTAAATACACGGTTAGATTTGGAATATCAAAGAACCCCAATAATTCAATTTTAGATGAAATCAAACAAAGTTTAATTTTGGACCCTTTTGACCTCAATATGAACCAATTAGATAACGGAGTCCACAAATAAAAAATCTAAATACATGGTTAGATTCAGCATATCAAAGAACCCCATATATTCAATTTTTGTTGAAATCAAACAAAGTTTAATTTTGGACCCCAACTTGGACCAACTTGAAAACTGGGCCCATAATCAAAAATCTAAACACATGTTTAGATTCAGCATATCAAAGAACCCCAAGAATTCAATTTTTGTTAAAATCAAACTAAGTTTAATTTTGGACCCTTTGGACCTCAATGAAGACCAATTTAAAAAACGGGACCCAAATTAAAAATCTAAAAACACGGTTAGATTTGGCATATCAAAGAACCCCAATAATTCAATTTTCGATGACATCAAACAAAGTTTAATTTTGGACCCTTTTGACCTCAATATGAACCAATTTGATAGCGGGGCCTACAAATAAAAAATCTAAATACATGGTTAGATTCAGCATATCAAAGAACCTCATATATTCAATTTTTGTTGAAATCAAACAAAGTTTAATTTTGGACCCCAATTTGGACCAACTTGAAAACTGGGCCCATAATCAAAAATCTAAATACATGTTTAGATTCAGCATATCAAAGAACCCCATATATTCAATTTTTGTTGAAATCAAACAAAGTTTTAATACTGGACCCTATCTTGGACCAACTTGAAAACTGGGCCCATAATCAAAAATCTAAACACATGTTTAGATTCAGCAAATCAAAGAACCCCAAGAATTCAATTTTTGTTAAAATCAAACTAAGTTTAATTTTGGACCCTTTGGACCTCAATGTAGACCAATTTAAAAAACAGGACCCAAAATTAAAAACCTAAATACACGGTTAGATTTGGAATATCAAAGAACCCCAATAATTCAATTTTAGATGAAATCAAACAAAGTTTAATTTTGGACCCTTTTGACCTCAATATGAACCAATTAGATAACGGGGTCCACAAATAAAAAATCTAAATACATGGTTAGATTCAGCATATCAAAGAACCCCATATATTCAATTTTTGTTGAAATCAAACAAAGTTTAATTTTGGACCCCAATTTGGACCAACTTGAAAACTGGGCCAAAAATCAAAAATCTAAATACATGTTTAGATTCAGCATATCAAAGAACCTCATATATTCAATTTTTGCTAAAATCAAACAAAGTTTAATTTTGGACCCTTTGGACATTAATGTAGACCAATTTGAAAACTGGACCCAAAATTAAAAATCTAAATACACTGTTAGATTCGAGATAAAACAAATAAATAAATGTGATCAAAGATTTTACAAATCTAATGCGCCATACTGTGCAATTAAAGATTACTTCTTGAAATTTTTCAATATTTGAAATTTGAAAAAAAAATAATATTTGAAGAATAATTCTTTTTAATTTCTGAAATCTGAAATGAGAAAAAATTGGCCCCCCACAATTTCTTTTTATTCCCCCCCCCCCCCTCTTTTTTCCCCCAAAAAATTCTTTCCCTCAAGATATGGTCATAATCTCAATTCAAATTTCCAATGGAGTTGGCAACCATAATTACCCATTTAAATTTAACATAGTGCTAACTTAATCTATTTTATAATAGAATTAATAAAAATATAGTGTCAAATCTTTCATATGGATTTTTTTGTAAAAAAAAAAGATGAAAACATTTGCAGATATTTTTACTGGTCTTCCTTTATAAATATGCATTTCTTTCAACATAATTTAAAAGCAGTGTAAGGGAAGTAACCAAAACGTTGTATTTGGATTACCTCCCTTACACTGTTTTAGATTATCTTTATTGTTCATTAACCATTACTTTATACATAATTTAAAAGCAGTGTAAGGGAGATAATTTCAATGATGTATTTGATTTATCTCCCTTACACTGCTTTAAATTATGTTTTGTACTAAAGTATTTGTCCATTAACCAGGACAACCTTGTTTTTCCCCCTTTTTTGCCCCTAATTCCTAAACGGTTTGAGCCATAACCCCCCAAAGCAAATCCTAACCATCCCTTTGTGGTATGGAAACTTGTAGTATAATTTCAGAGAGATCCATACACCGTTCCACAGTTATTGTCTGGAAACTAGAAAATGCTCATTTTTGGCCCCTTTTTGGCCCCTAATTCCTTAACTGTTGGTACCATAACCCCCAAAATCAATCCCAACCTTCCTTTTGTGGTATTTAACCTTATGGTCAAATTTCAAAAAGATCCATTCACTTAAACTAAAGTTAGAGTGCGAAAACCAATATGTATTCGGACGACGACGCTGGACGACGACGACGCCGGACGACGACGACGACGACGCCAACGTCATACCAATATACGACCACAAAATTTTTTTGCGGTCGTATAATAAAGCACACGTTTTGGCTTGTGAAAAATTTCTTTTTTCTATGTAAATTGAATCAAGTTTTAATTCAAAATCAGAATTGTCCATTGTCTTTGCTGAAAAGTAATTAAATAATGAAGAAAGTTATCATGGAATTTTAATTAGGTCTTTCCACTTTTCTGTGGAAAGACCTATTGTATTTGTTCTGATTATTATTTTTTTCTTCCGCCAAATTTTGTTATCGCGTAAAATTTTTGTTTCGCAATATGTCGTAAAGATATTTCTTATATAGTATCATACAGTTTAAGCGCTTTTTATTTTCACCTATTCTAAGCCGAACAATTTTCTTTGTAATAGTTATCTCCCTATTCACTGTTTATCAAGTGTGTGCATCTCCTTCGTAACAAAAAAAGATATCGACAAAATTCTTTTTCTAAATTGTACATTACATCCTCAGGAATTTTTTGCTAATTTGGATCGAAGCGATTCGATGAAATTTTAAAGGAGTTATCTACCTTTACCAAATAAATTTGTCAGTATGTTTCTTTAACTCATAAACTGTTAACTGTATAACCCTGGAATCTTTTTATTTGAGGTCCCTAGGTCCTAACTTAGAAAATGAGGTCAAAGGTCAAGGTCAAGTTCTCAATTTTGACTTTTCCTTATTTTTGCATTTTCTCAAACGCTTTTAAAGATATATATGAAACAACAAGTGTAAAATGTTTGCTTTATTGTAATGAAGATATGTTACATTTGGTCTGAAACAATCTAATGGCATCTTATAGGAGTAAGTGCCCCTGAAATGTCCAATTATAAGGTTAATTGATTATTAGTTCAACTTGGTTCATTATAAAGCCATATGACCTTTTACAAAAGGTTGGATGACATATGACCTTGAAGAATGACAACCGGAAGTAACCTTGAGAAAACTGGAAGTAGCAATTTTTGCACTTTCTTCATGGAAAAGTACTCAGAATCCATATATTTTGTAATTTTAATACATTAACTTATCACTGAAGACTAGAAATGACTTTCGATAAACCGGAAGTGGCCAATTATCTCCTGGTTAACAAGCAAAAGTATATAGAAACTATATATTTTTGGAATCAGTGTGAAAGAAACTATTATATGAGACCGGAAGTGACATTTACTTCACCGTAAGTAGCTAATTATCTCCCTTATTTCACTCAGAAGTATATAGAAACAACTTATTTATCGCATCAGTATGAAGAAACTGATGATAAGATGCCAATTTTAATTTTGAGTAAACACGAACTAGCTTCTTTCCAATAAATTTAAAAATTGCTGTGGAAAGACCTTCAATTGTTCTCTGAACAATTGGTTTTTAATTTCTTTATAATATAAGTTCTGAGCTTGTGATCACTGTCAGATGTTAATTAAATTAATAAAATGCTCCGCTGGGCGCAACTTGATATGACTGCAGAGGTCGAACCCTGAACAGTTGGGGCAAGTATGGACACAACATTCAAGCTTGATACAGCACTGAATTTGGATTGTAATTAAATATTTGACACAGCACAGGTTTCTGACACAGAATGAATGTGGTCTAAGAACTTAAAAATTTTTAATTTACCTATTCAAACCATATCATTATTATTTGCTTTTATATATAAATCAGAAATAACCAATTTAAAATGGAAAATTTTAAAGAAAAAAAAATCCCCCCCAAATTTTTTGAATCCCCTTATGATTCATCACCCCCAAACTCAATCCCAGCCTTCCCTTTGTGGTATGGTACCTGCAGTACAATTTCAGAGAGACACTTGAACACAAGTTATTGTCTGGAAACTAGAAAAATGCTTGTTTTTTGGCACCTTTTTGGCCCCAAATTCCTAAACGTTTAGGGCAATTACCCACAAACTCAAACCCAGCTTTCCCTTTGTGATATGGAACCTTGTAGTACAATTTCATAAAGATCCATACACTTACACACAAGTTATTGTCCTGAAACTAGAAAAATGCTTGTTTTTTGCCCCCTAATTCCTAAAATTTTGAAGCAATTACCCCCAAAATCAATCCCAGCCTACCCTTTGTGGTATGGTACCTTGCAGTACAATTTCAGAGAGATCCATACACTTGAACACAAGTAATTGTTTGGAAACTAGAAAAATGCTTATTTTTGGCCCCTTATTCCTAATATTTTGAGGCAATTACCCCCAAAATCAATCCCAGCATTCCCTGTGTGATATGGAACCTTGTGGTACAATGTCAGAGAGATCCATACACTAACACACAAGTTATGTCTGGAAGTTACAATAAAATGCTCCGCTGGGCGCAGCTTGATACGACCGCAGAGGTTGAAATCTGAACAGTTGGGGCAAGTATGGACACAACATTCAAGTTTGATACAGCTCTGAATTTGGATTGTGATTAAATATTTAACACAGCATAGGTTTCTGACACAGAATGAATGTGGTCTAAGAACTTAAATTTTTTTATTTTACCTATTATGGTCCATTATCCAAAATCTAAAAACATGGTTAGATTCAGCATATCAAAGAATCCAAAGAATTCAATTTTTGATGAAATCAAACAAAGTTTAATTTTGGACCCTTTTGACCTCAATGTGGACCAATTTGATAACAGGGCCCAAAAATCAAAATACATGGTTAGATTCAGCATATCAAAGAACCCCATATATTCAATTTTTGTTGAAATCAAACAAAGTTTAATTTTGGACCCCAACTTGGACCAACTTGAAAACTGGGCCCATAATCAAAAATCTAAACACATGTTTAGGTTTAGCATATCAAAGAACCCCAAGAATTCAATTTTTGTTAAAATCAAACTAAGTTTAATTTTGGACCTTTTGGACCTTAATGTAGAGCAATTTAAAAAACAGGACTCAAAATTAAAAATCTAAATACACGGTTAGATTTGGAATATCAAAGAACCCCAATAATTCAATTTTAGATGAAATCAAACAAAGTTTAATTTTGGACCCTTTTGACCTCAATATGAACCAATTTGATAACGGGGTCCACAAATAAAAAATCTAAATACATGGTTAGATTCAGCATATCAAAGAACCCCATATATTCAATTTTTGTTGAAATCAAACAAAGTTTAATTTTGGACCCCAATTTGGACCAACTTGAAAACTGGGCCAAAAATCAAAAATCTAAATACATGTTTAGTTTCAGCATATCAAAGAACCTCATATATTCAATTTTTGCTAAAATCAAACAAAGTTAAATTTTGGACCCTTTGGACCTTAATGTAGACCAATTTGAAAACTGAACCCAAAATTAAAAATCTAAATACACTGTTAGATTCGGCATAACAAATAAATAAATGTGATCAAAGATTTTACAAATCTAATGCGCCATACTGTGCAATTAAAGATTACTTCTTGAAATTTTTCAATATTTGAAATTTGAAAAAAAAATAATATTTGAAGAATAATTCTTTTTAATTTCTGAAATCTGAAATGAGAAAAATTTGACCCCCCACAATTTCTTTTTATCCCCCCCCCCCTCTTTTTTTCCCCCAAAAATTCTTTCCCTCAAGATATGGTCATAATCTCAATTCAAATTTCCAATGGAGTTGGCAACCATAATTACCCATTTAAATTTACCATAGTGCTAACTTAATCTATTTTATAATAGAATTAAAAGTATAGTGTCAAATCTTTCATATGGATTTTTTTGTAAAAAAAAAGATGCAACATTTGCAGATATTTTTACTGGTCTTCCTTTATAAATATGCATTTCTTTAAACATAATTTAAAAGCAGTGTAAGGGAAGTAACAAAAAAGTTGTATTTGAATTACCTCCCTTACACTGTTTTAAATTATCTTTATTGTTCATTAACCATTACTTTATACATAATTTAAAAGCAGTGTAAGGGAGATAATTTCAATGATGTATTTGATTTATCTCCCTTACACTGTTTTAAATTATGTTTTGTACTAAAGTATTTGTCCATTAACCAGGACAACCTTGTTTTCCCCCCTTTTTTGCCCCTAATTCCTAAACGGTTTGAGCCATAACCCCCCAAAGCAAATCCTAACCATCCCTTTGTGGTATGGAAACTTGTAGTATAATTTCAGAGAGATCCATACACCGTTCCACAGTTATTGTCTGGAAACTAGAAAATGCTTATTTTTGGCCCCTTTTTAGCCCCTTATTCCTTAACTGTTGGTACCATAACCCCCAAAATCAATCCCAACCTTCCTTTTGTGGTATTTAACCTAATGGTCAAATTTCTAAAAGATCCATTCACTTAAACTAAAGTTAGAGTGCGAAAACCAATGTGTCTTGGGACGACGACGCCCGGACGATGACAACGACGACGACGTCGCCAACGTCATACCAATCTACGACCACAAAATTTTTTTGCGGTCGTATAAAAACGGGACCCAAAATTAAAAATCTAAATACAATGTTAGATTTGGCATATCAAAGAACCCCAATAATTCAATTTTTGATGAAATAAAACAAAGTTTTATTTGGGACCCTTTTGACCTCAATATAAACCAATTTGATACGGGGCCCACAAAAAAAATAAAATCTGAATACATGGTTAGATTCAGCATATCAAAGAACCCCATATATTCAATTTTTGTTGAAATCAAACAAAGTTTAATTTTGGACCCCAATTTGGACCAACTTGAAAACTGGGCCCAAACCAAAAATCTAAATACATGTTTAGATTAAGCATATCAAAGAACCCCATATATTCAATTTTTGTTGAAATCAAACAAAGTTTAAATACTCCTATCTTGGACCAACTTGAAAACTGGGCCCATAATCAAAAATCTAAACACATGTTTAGATTCAGCATATCAAAGAACCCCAAGAATTCAATTTTTGTTAAAATCAAACTAAGTTTAATTTTGGACCCTTTGGACCTTAATGTAGAGCAATTTAAAAAACAGGACTCAAAATTAAAAATCTAAATACACGGTTAGATTTGGAATATCAAAGAACCCCAATAATTCAATTTTAGATGAAATCAAACAAAGTTTAATTTTGGACCCTTTTGACCTCAATATGAACCAATTTGATAACGGGGTCCACAAATAAAAAATCTAAATACATGGTTAGATTCAGCATATCAAAGAACCCCATATATTCAATTTTTGTTGAAATCAAACAAAGTTTAATTTTGGACCCCAATTTGGACCAACTTGAAAACTGGGCCAAAAATAAAAAATCTAAATACATGTTTAGTTTCAGCATATCAAAGAACCTCATATATTCAATTTTTGCTAAAATCAAACAAAGTTTAATTTTGGACCCTTTGGACCTTAATGTAGACCAATTTGAAAACTGAACCCAAAATTAAAAATCTAAATACACTGTTAGATTCGGCATAACAAATAAATAAATGTGATCAAAGATTTTACAAATCTAATGCGCCATACTGTGCAATTAAAGATTACTTCTTGAAATTTTTCAATATTTGAAATTTGAAAAAAAAATAATATTTGAAGAATAATTCTTTTTAATTTCTGAAATCTGAAATGAGAAAAATTTGACCCCCCACAATTTCTTTTTATCCCCCCCCCCCCCCCCTCTTTTTTTCCCCCAAAAATTCTTTCCCTCAAGATATGGTCATAATCTCAATTCAAATTTCCAATGGAGTTGGCAACCATAATTACCCATTTAAATTTACCATAGTGCTAACTTAATCTATTTTATAATAGAATTAAAAGTATAGTGTCAAATCTTTCATATGGATTTTTTTGTAAAAAAAAAAGATGCAACATTTGCAGATATTTTTACTGGTCTTCCTTTATAAATATGCATTTCTTTAAACATAATTTAAAAGCAGTGTAAGGGAAGTAACAAAAAAGTTGTATTTGAATTACCTCCCTTACACTGTTTTAAATTATCTTTATTGTTCATTAACCATTACTTTATACATAATTTAAAAGCAGTGTAAGGGAGATAATTTCAATGATGTATTTGATTTATCTCCCTTACACTGTTTTAAATTATGTTTTGTACTAAAGTATTTGTCCATTAACCAGGACAACCTTGTTTTCCCCCCTTTTTTGCCCCTAATTCCTAAACGGTTTGAGCCATAACCCCCCAAAGCAAATCCTAACCATCCCTTTGTGGTATGGAAACTTGTAGTATAATTTCAGAGAGATCCATACACCGTTCCACAGTTATTGTCTGGAAACTAGAAAATGCTTATTTTTGGCCCCTTTTTAGCCCCTTATTCCTTAACTGTTGGTACCATAACCCCCAAAATCAATCCCAACCTTCCTTTTGTGGTATTTAACCTAATGGTCAAATTTCTAAAAGATCCATTCACTTAAACTAAAGTTAGAGTGCGAAAACCAATGTGTCTTGGGACGACGACGCCCGGACGATGACAACGACGACGACGTCGCCAACGTCATACCAATCTACGACCACAAAATTTTTTTGCGGTCGTATAAAAACGGGACCCAAAATTAAAAATCTAAATACAATGTTAGATTTGGCATATCAAAGAACCCCAATAATTCAATTTTTGATGAAATAAAACAAAGTTTTATTTGGGACCCTTTTGACCTCAATATAAACCAATTTGATACGGGGCCCACAAAAAAAATAAAATCTGAATACATGGTTAGATTCAGCATATCAAAGAACCCCATATATTCAATTTTTGTTGAAATCAAACAAAGTTTAATTTTGGACCCCAATTTGGACCAACTTGAAAACTGGGCCCAAACCAAAAATCTAAATACATGTTTAGATTAAGCATATCAAAGAACCCCATATATTCAATTTTTGTTAAAATCAAACTAATTTTAATTTTGGACCCTTTGGACCTTAATGTAGACCAATTTGAAAACTGGACCCAAAATTAAAAATCTAAATACACGGTTAGATTTGGCATATCAAAAAACCCCAATAATTCAATTTTTGATGAAATAAAACAGTTTAATTTTGGACCCTTTTGACCTCAATATGAACCAATTTGATAGCAGGGCCCACAAATAAAAAATCTAAATACATGGTTAGATTCAGCATATCAAAGAACCCAATATATTCAATTTTTGTTGAAATCAAACAAAAAAAAAAGTTTAATTTTGGACCCCAATATGGACCAACTTGAAAACTGGGCCCGAAATCAAAAATCTAAATACATGTTTGATTCAGCATATCAAAGAACCCCATATATTCAATTTTTGTTAAAATCAAACTAAGTTTAATTTTGGACCCTTTGGACCTTAATGTAGACCAATTTGAAAACTGGACCCAAATTTAAAAATCTAAATACGCGGTCAGATTTGGCATAACAAATAAATAAATGTGGTCAAAGATTTTACAAATCTAATGCTCCATACTGTGCAATTAAAGGTTATATTACTTCTTGAAAATTTTTAATATTTGAAATTTGAAAAAAAAACAATATATGAAGAATAATTCTTTTTAATTTCTGAAATCTGAAATGAGAAAAAATTGACCCCCCACAATTTCTTTTTATGGATTTTTTTGTAAAAAAAAAAAGATGCAACATTTGCAGATATTTTAACTGGTCTTCCTTTATAAATATACATTTCTTTAAACATAGTTTAAAAGCAGTGTAAGGGAAGTAATCAAAATGTTGTATGTGGATTACCTCCCTTACACTGTTTTAAATTGTCTTAATTGCTCATTAACCATTACTTTATACATAATTTAAAAGCAGTGTAAGGGAGGTAATTCAAATGATGTATTTGATTTATCTCCCTTACACTGCTTTAAATTATGTTTTGTACTAAAGTATTTGTCCATATAACAATGCTTGTTTTTTGCCCCTTTTTTGGCCCCTAATTCCTAAAATTTTGAGGCAATTACCCCCAAAATCAATCCCAGCATTTACTTTGTGATATGGAACCTTGTGGTACAATGTCAGAGATATCCATACACTAACACACAAGTTATGTCTGGAAGTTACAAAAATGCTTATTTTTGGCCCCTTTTTGGCCCCTAATTCCTTAACTGTTGGTACCATAACCCCCAAAATCAATCCCTACCTTCCTTTTGTGGTATTGAACCTTATAGTAAAATTTCACAGAGATCCATTCACTTAAACTAAAGTTAGAGTGCGATAAACCAATGTGTCTTCGGACGACGACGCCAACGTCATACCAATATACGACCGCAAAAATTTTTTGCAGTTGTATAAATATTGATCAGCGATCAATAGCCAATATTTCCCAAAGGAACTAATATGGTTATTAGGAGGGCCCTCAGGATTATCATACTATAATGGAGTGGCAGTTTTCTTACAGGAAAGGAATTACAAAACAAAAACAAGTGTAAATTGGCTATAAAGAAACCCGATCTCAATGAAATGACAGAAATTATTTCTGTAAAAAAAATAATTTATCCTAAATCCCAATTTGCCGTTTAGGACAAATATCTTTCAGTTTCGGACATGACTGGCAAATATGACCATTTCCGGACCCTTGGAATGGACTTAAAATCAGGCTGTTAGTTTTCACATTTGAATTGTTTCAAATTTTTCACGTCAGG